AATCACTTATTTTACTTGAGTTATGAACGATAATTTGAGTACAAATTTTGATTAATTTTTGTTGATTGATTTTAATCAAAATTTTTATTTCTTTAATTTCTTTTTTTTTCTATTTTTTCCTTCTCTCTGAATAATATATTTGTAATGTTTATCATGGTTATGATATATGAGTATTTATATACATAGTAATAAATTTGGATGTCGGGAGCGCAAAATTTGTCAACATGTTATTCATCGGTTTCTTCACACCTCGACTACTTTTATAGCTTTCGCGCAATATCTTTGGAAAGAAAACTTGGCAAATTCTCTCTGGTATTTTTATGAATAGATCGTGAAAAAAAAACTAGTGCTAATCCATGAACCGAGCTTTTTTATAATTTACGAAGTGAAGATTGAGAAATCTCGATCCAAAAAATTTTCACGTATATATCCAATTTCAAATTCACGTATTTTAAAATGTTTCTAAGAATGAGAATAATTCAAATTTTTCATTCAATCTATATCATTCTCTTTTTTTAAAACACCTTTTAATTCTTTTCTTTATCGAGAATTATTTTATAATTATGATACTATAGATATATCAGATTTGATATATCTATAGTATCATAATTATAAAAAGTAATTGAAATCATACATATTATTTATTTATAATAATATTTATAATTTCTATTTTATATGTAAATTACATGAGATTAATTAATTTAAGGGATTTAATTAAATTTTAGGTAATTTATAATCCTTGGATTAATTTATAATCCTTGACAAAATATAATGATAAAGTCATGATACATTACATGTAAATGTATAATGTTTTATGTATCAAATTTAATGATGAAGTAAACAATGTGAAAGATTGCAGTTAAAGATAATTCGAGTTCATATATCATATGTAATCATACAATATATTATATTAAATTATTTTCGAAATTCAATAAATTTCTTGAGTCAAGTCATGATGTTTTTTAATCTTTATTATGTCTAATATTTCATTTAATTTTTCAAATTTATTTTATACAATTAATTAATATCTTAGGATTTCTCATTTATTCAAATATGTATTCATGAATAATAATATAATATATTTATTAAAAATAATATATATAAAATATTATTAGAATTATTTTTTTACAATCATTTAAATAATAATTAATAATTAAATTAAATAATATTTTGGATTTATTTTCCAAAAACTTGTTAAAAAGAAAAGACAAATCTTATTTACATATAAATATTTAGTCCATATATTTTTATCCTTTCATTTTTCTTTCTCTCTCTCTCTTTTTATTCTTTCCCTTCCTTTTTCTTTCTTTCTCTTTTTCTTCCACGTTTATATCTCACTCTTCCATGCATTCCTTAACGATCCCTCCTTACACATCCATTATACATATCATTTTTCCATTTCATCATGCATGCATAATATTACGTAGTACAAAAAATTTTAATAATAAGTTTTGTTTACAAACATCCATACTTTTTACAAAAATCGAATTTTTCGACAACTTCTTAAATAAAACATAATTTTTTTTCTACTTATACGATCACGATTGACTTATTCCACTGGCCTGGCCATGACTGCATTCTTCCATTTTCCTGACCTTGACTCGGGTTTATTCTACTTATCTCCCTTCGTTGCAGAAGAAATAACAAATTCATATCGTATGTGGGTCATTGACGAAAGAAATAAATCTCGATACGTGACTTCGCGATTGTTTATGATCTACCAACTTTTGCTAATGGTTCTTCCACTTTTCTGGCCACCAGGCCACGAAAATGAAACTTGGATTTATGTGTTTGCGCCGCTGTTCCGCGGCTAGATCGCAGAAACAGAGAACGCCTTTGTTTCCCTCGAAGTGAAATAAATCGATAAAATGTTCTTGTACGTTCGAGTAATTAATTAAGTGAGCTATGTTTATGTAATATGATATTTTATTCCTTGTCTTGGAAGTGTGCGTTAAATTGACGTACATAATTGCTTCTCTATATTTTTTTTTTATTTTCATGTTTTTCCTCTTTCACTTATATACATGGAAATATTTAATTATTTAATACATGGATTTTTTTTACTTGATTATAACTATATAAGGGTTTTTTTTTATTCAATACTGGAACTTTCGTGATATTAACTTCCTGAAACTTTTCAGAGATAGTGAAAATAATAAAACTTCATGAAGTTTTAATAAAACGAATATTTTTTAGTGAAATGTATATATACTGTTCGTAATTCTTAATTTTTTTTAATTAAAATTAATTTATAGTAGTAAGAAATTATTGATAATTTTTTACTCGAATATCGATCATTTATATTTAAATCATTTATATTTCGAGTAAAATATAAGTACTAATGTAATAATAGCTTGAAAATTAAATTATTACGAATATAATTTTAACGAAAACTTATTTATAATTCGAATATATTTTTTAAATTACATTTTTATTCGACATAAAAAAATGATTCGCATTTATCTGTACAGCCATCCGGATAGATATTTTGCTCTGTCCTCTACCATCTTCCCAACTAATTTCATTAACCTACTTTTCTAATAAAGTATTTCAAGGATCGATAAAAATTTTAAAGTAGAAATTTGTTCTCGAGTTTACTAGAAGGAATTTTTTGTAATAGAATAAATTTAACGCAGTTAGGATTGTTATTACTTTGATAACAAAAAAATTTCCTTAAGATAATTAATTCAACTTCAATTCATAATTCGAATTAAATAAATAATGGAAAAATCATGGAAAATATTGTTTTGAAAATTGCATTATATACATAGTGAATCATTAATTGAAATTAAGAACTAAAATTAAAATAAGAATTATTAGTTGAATTTTATTAATTTATTATTTGAATTAAAAAATGTTTATGCTTAAAGGAACTTATCACAATATTAATTTTTATTACATTTTATTTAATTTTTAATTTTTTCTTTGAACAAAAAGTAATTGATAATATCAATATTTTGTTTAATATTAAAATTCAAAATCAAGTCAAACTCATCTCATTGTAGCTCCTACGAATGTCTTTCTTTTATTATGAAATTTCATTAAAAAATAGATATAAAAAATTGCATCCATAGTGATAACTATCTTCAAATATAATGTACAATTTAAAATATTTTTTTATAGAACCAATAAATAATTATTTTAATAATATTATAACGCAATATTATAAAAAAGTACTATTTATTTATAATTTATAAATCTGATTATTATTATTATTTTCAAATTCATATATAATGTGAAATTATCTATTAGAGTATTAGTATCAGACTTGATATAAAGATCTAACGCGATAAAAATTTGCAACATCCACGTCGAAACTCAAATTCCAAATGTGCATTATAGATTGCATTATCCAAACGAAATTTTGCAAAATAAGAACACAAGGAATTGTTGAAAAGAGAAAATTTAAATGCAATCGCTACAGGTGAACGCTTTCTACGCGCGGCACAGAGTTACTTGGCAAAAGAGAATCTCTGATTGGATCCTCTGTGAAGAAATTCTGGGCGAAGTTTCGTACCCGTGAACCCCTGCGGGATAATTGGCCACTAATTAATGGCCGCGGGGCAATCGAATTTCCAGCAACTTTCTCCCTTCGCGTGCATAAGAGTAAGCGATACGACTTCGTCGTTTCCCATCCAAAAATTAAATTATTTTCGTGGAAGATGAAGTCTTGCTTGGGTAATCACCGTTACATATATCCTTTCTTTTGCTCCCTATTAATATTCGTGAGTTAATTTTACAAAAAGTGCACGAATAAAATTTATTACAATTATAGAATTGTATCATTAAAATTATCGTTTTCTCTTTTTTTCTTAAATCAATTAATTAACAATTTTATAATTAACATTACTTGTTTACGATTATTAGTGAGTTCGAAATATATATTAAACGGTTATGCGTTTTTTCTTAAATGTAAATTATATCGAATTGATGAGAAATAAAGTTGGTTTTGTGAATGCAAATATAAATTAATTTATTATAAATTATCGATATACTGTTAGTGTTAGTATATCATGGAATATCTTTAAAGGATTGATATCTTTTAAGAATCTTTAATCCAAATACAAAAGTTAACAAATATAATTTAATTAATTTCTCTTTATAGGATTGATTGGTCTATTCCAAATTAAAAATAAATTATTAAAAGTAAATAATAAAAAAATATATTATGCATTTATGAATTAAAGAATGATATTGTCATAATTAATAAATTAAACATAAACTATGAAATATATTATTGATATTGAATGAGGAAGTAAAATATTTAAGTAAGATATTTAGATGTCTGATGATGTTTAAATATCTTTCAAATTAGAATATAATAAAAAAGAATTTATCAAATTACTGCATTTTATTAAATAAAAAAATAAATTATAGAAATATAATTAACAATAATGCATAAACATAACAAAATAAATATAATTTAAACAATCCATAATATCAGACATTTTAAAAAAAAATTACTTCCACTAGATCATAAGATTTCAATTTTTAATTATGTTTCACGAACAATCTAAGTCGTTTTTCATAAACTTTTAGAAAAATATTTTCTTTCGAACCACTGTACAGAGATATCGATAAATATTTTTAAAAAATTTTTATTTAAAATTAAATGCAATAAAAAAGAGAGACAATAATATGGTTATATTTTTTGTGTTGGCTGTTTCAAGTCATGGTACGATTACAAGCTACGATGGGAGCCGAAGGAGTATGGAGGAGTTCACATGTTACACGTGCCGTCCGATCACATATGGCGGCCCGATATAGTCCTCTACAACAAGTGAGTCTGTCTGCCGTTTCTTTGTTCAATATTCTAATTACATCTTCTATAGTTCCACATTACATACATTCTATACATATAGTAGTGGCACAGCATGCTGCCAAGAGATTGGAATCAGTTTGGACATTCATTTCTTTGAGAAGTCGTCGTGTCGTCGTTTATGATGTAATTTTCTTTGTTCAACACGAAAACAAGCTAAGATCGAAGAAGAAGAAGAAGAAGAATTTTCTTCTTCACATTGTTCACTTTCTAAAAATATCTGATATTCCTAAAAAACCTTGTCAAAAGACCAAAAAAAAAAAAATAAATAAATAAATAAAGATGAAAAACAACTTAATATTTCTAAAAAAAATTAGAAACTCTTACTGATATTTATTTCCGCTGTGTGCGAAATTAATCTCAATTTCTCAATTATTCTAAAAAAAAAAGGAGAGAATGAAAATTTGCCTGTCTGTGTAAATATATCTTTTTCCTTAATATGTGTTTGCGCGCATGTTAGATTATAACAAACAAACAAACGGAAAGAGAAACGAGTGTCCACTCGACTTAACAAGAGAGGTACCATCGTCGTGCATATTGCATTTCAAAGTAGAACAGTCTATTTGATGTCAGAGTGCATCTCGTATCGCGACGTTGTTTCGAAAGTTACGGAAAAATGTGTTATATTGTTTGTCTTGAGAAAGATTTTCCAAATTCAAACTTTTCGTGAAGATTTACACCTTAAATGGTGAATCTCAGATTTATCGATATCCCTCATCTATTTCCAGCATTATTATTGTTTGTTTACCCTGTCCAAAGTTTGCTAAAGTTGGTGTTCGTTTGCTTGAAGAATGTTGGAGAGGACGAAACATTTTCTACGTATTTTCTACGTAAATATTTACCGTATGAAATAAAAGAACTAGTTTTGTGACCGAATCCAATCGAGTCTTGTTGATGATATCCGTATTATGTACTCGAATTTGTTCACATTCGATATATATATATATATTACGTTTTATATTGTATCTAAAATATCGTGGATTATCGGGAAAAAATCAATTATTTGTTGAATATATTATATATTCATATTATATATTATAATATATTTTGTTGAATAAAATAGTTAATTTTAGATTAAAAATTTGTAAAATGATAAAATAATTGAAATTTAATTTTCTTTTTCTTACTTTCAAAATTTTATATCGAATATAAAATTATTGCCAATTATTTACATATTATAAAACTGAAATATTTAATAATTAATTCAAATTGAACCGGATTAAGTTTCATTTTGAGGCATTTTTTTTTAAATTTTTTTTTAAATTTTTTTTTGAATATTTTATATTAATATTCGAAAAAAAATAATTAAAAAATAATAAAAAAAAATAAAAAAAAACAAAATAAATATATTTTGTCTGTATCCACCGATTATTGTTAGAAACTACTATTATAGAAGTTTAAAGAAACTGGTTTACTTCTAATAATATTATTAGATCAATTTGGACGATAATAATGATATCACAAATATTTTTCCATACAATAAATAGAAACGAAATTTAACGATTTTGAGTTTAAAAATACATTGAGATTTATTTTATATCTATTGATTAAATATGTCACAAAATGTAATAAAAGTTTTGAAAAAAGTTCGAATCACTTAATAATCAGATCGATCATTCTAACGACAGAAGTGATGCCATAAATATTCACATAATCAATCTCCAAATTCATCATCATGAAAATGATCGGTTTCCTCTCGTTCAGTTTTCTACAGAATGTCAATATGACGTCATAACCTGACCTAATCTAACTTAACTTATGTCATACAGTTTGCTAAGAATATCAAATTTTAAACTTGAATTTATTTTAACTTTTAGACCAACAATTTCTAGATTCAAAAATCAATGTATTTTATTTTTATTTCATTCCTATCAGAAAAAAAAAAGTTTAAAAAAAATTAATGCTGAAACGAAGCTTAATCTTGATAAATGTACAGGATATTTTCTAATTTTCTCAAATTTCAAATTATAGAAATTGTAAATAAAAATACGAAAAATTATTAAATAAGAAAATGTTATTAAGTTAAATGAAAGTTTTGGTACAAAATTATAGAAAAATTTTAAATTGAATCTGAATATACTATACATAACAATAATAATTTTATATTAGAAGATATAAAATCTTTTTGAAATGAGAAAGCAAATTTTTTAATATCGAATGTATTATGTACATATTCAAAATATTTAATTATATAACTTTCATAATATAAAAAATAACAAACTTTACAACATTTATATCTTATTTTCACTCAAAATTATTTTTTTTTAGTCACAAAAATTTCATTTTCAGCGTTGCATCAATGAGAATTCATAAATTATACTTACAATGCTATGCGGATGCAGCGAATTATCTGCTGGAATATTGAAATACGCTTTACAGATCATTATTTTCCCATTACCAGTATATTTATGTAGCTCGAGAACGCCCCTTTTATGCAGCTATCATTGATACCATCGGCCTCGATAATACGGATATCGTAGATTCGAACAATTCGTTCACACTTCTGCCCTGAATCCGTCTACTTCAATGAATATCTCTCAACGAACACCAAAATAACACACATACACACACATATATACACACATATACACATATACACACACATATATACACAGAGAAGAAGAAAAAAAAGAAAAAACAATAATAAAGCAAATCGAGGAGGAACAAAGGCACCAATTCTAAATAATAATTCATAATCTTCTCCTTTTGCTTCAATCTGCACATATTTGCGTAACTTTTGCCCTGTTCGCTGATAAACGAGCCAGAGCCAACGAGCTTGTTCGAGTCCTTTTTTTCCTCGGTTTTTGGCTCGGTGTTCGACAGTCACGGCGAGCTCTCGATGTAGTTACCGGATAGATTATTATTCATATCGCATGAAACATGGGCGCTGCGGCGAATGTTCGTGTAAATGGTTCTTGACAAACGGGTCGAGGTCACGAGAGAAACCGTTTCCGCTCGTTCGACGCCGCGGTCACTTCCGAGAATCTCTTAACGATCGTGCACAGTACGTTTCGAGATTCGAACTTGTTTTTCAGCTGACCGTCTCTGGGTAACCATTGGGATTAGTTGTAACGCGATATCGTTGACATTCATTGTTGATCTCTAGCGTGAAATTATCTTACGTATGGAATGGTAACGAGGAAAAAGTCGTTTTCTTTATCCGTTTTCCATGTTCTTCGAATTGCGGATTTTGTAATTGTTGTAATTAGATTGTGGTTTTTTGTGCAGTCTAAAAATACGTTCAATTATATTCGACTGGCAAAATATATCGTGTTATTCGAATTGTGCGGAATAACAGAATAATATCTCTAATGAGAATTTCAATGAAATATTATTATCATAAAGAGTGGACTCTTAATTTTCGAGATATTCGTATATGCTCAATATTTTATTTCTCAATAAATTTAAGAATAAATATTTATAATCAAAATACATGAATATTGCATATTATGCAATTATAAATCAATTTCTTCAAGTTATTTTTATTTATTTATTCGTTTGATAATGTGTTTTAAGATCATTGAAATCAGAGATGTTATTCTGCATATTATTTATAATTCATGCTTTTTTAAATAATTTAAATAATTGTTTATTTGAAAATACTTAAAGAAATTTTTCTATAAATCATACGATACATTGTTTCAATAAATTATATCGATACTTGAAAAAATTTTTCCAATTTTCAATATTATTACCAGCAATTTTATTCAGAATATTGAATTTCACAATATTAAATTTTTATATAAATAGAATTAATTTGAGAATAAAAATATATAATGTATTCATTTATGAAATATATATTTGCATAAAAATCCGCAGTCTAGTTTCTATTTTAATTCGATGCGATGTTACGCGATATTAAATTTGATAAGGTGGGTATGTATAAAATTAAAATACATCGATCATTCGATAACTATTCTGGATGAGGTTGGATTGTGTAAAAAGTGAATGAATACGAAATGGGCCCTTATTTCGATCTGTTAAATAAAGAATTGTTGAAGAAACAGACACACATATATTTAGTATTCTCGTATATTCATGAATTGAAAATTATACATATATATTGATTTTTTTTTTCAAATTAGTACTTGATTCTTCGTTGACATTTCTTAGATATGTTTTTTCTTTTTTTTTTAGATATTAAATATATATGTTACCTTTAGAGTATGTTAGATTGTAATCAAAATTGAAAATTATAGATATTAAGTTTTACTGATATAATAAATTTCTATTATTAATTGTTATAATTGATACGTAATACTAAGTAAAACATAAGTAGATAATTTTAGAAATTTCTGTACTTATAAAACAATTTTAAAATTTATCATATATCGAAAAAGGAAAATCATATATCGTATAAGGAATATAATTTTCATAATTAAAATTGCTTCATGTCTTCCCTTTGGATATAATTTAATTTTTAAATTGATAAGATAATTATTAGAAATAAATCAGAAATGACAATCTACGTAAATACGAAAATACGATTTTTCGTATTTTCGTATCAAAGATAATAAAAATATTAGGCATATAAAAATATTTTACATGAATTTTACAAAAACAGATTTTAGATTATTATAAAAACAGATTTAAGATAATTAAAAAAAATATTATATTTTACTATTGAAAATTTAATTTTAATGAAGTTAAGAAAGTTACACAAGAAATACCAATTTGGTTCCCTAAATTACACAAAGTTTACAGTTCAAACACGATACAAACTTCTACAATCTTCTACAATCTATAACAAATTAAATAAATATTTAATTCTTCTCCTAGAATCAATATTTAACTTTAAATAAAGCAAATAAATTATCTTACTTTTAAATTTCCTTAAATTTCACAAAAACAAAATCAAATAATATTATTGACTGTTCTTGATTAGTATGAAACTTTTTTCATTAGGTGACAGGATCCAGATCAATTAACAAGTTTTTTTTTAAAATTTAATTAGCTAATTT